CAAGCGCAACGGATCTGGGGCGCATAGTAGAGGACACTCTTTTCCTACTCTTGAAACAACAGGAGAGGTTTTTATCGAGGCCGCTGCTGTCGAGGACGCCAGACTAGAGAGGGAGGTTCTGTAACGAGGGCTCGAGACACACGTCCCTCGAAGGAACAGAGTACGCGCTAAACCTGCTTATAAGGCGCGCCTCGCTCTACAGAGCGAGGTAAGGATTATTCTCTTTACAACCTACACCTGTAGTCTGAATACACGAGCTATCTCCCACTATCCTTAGTAACGTGAAGCAAGCACTATTGCCTACAGTTACGCCTCACATATAGGCTTAGCGCTTAAAGTACGTAATAGAAGGACTTAGTCTAAATCTCTGCTCTAAGAGCAGGCATGTTGCCCTAATTAAGTAGAAGGAGCTATCTCCTAACTATTAGCTAAGAAGGAGGATTATTATATAAGGCGTAACTGTAGGTAATAGTGCTTGCTTTACGTTACTAAAGATAGTAGGAGATAGCTCGTGTATTTAGACTATAGGTGTAGGTTATAAAGAGAATAATCCTTACCTTGCTCTACAGAGCGAGGCGCGCCTTATAAGCAGGTTTAGCGCGTACTTTGTTCCTTTAAGGGACGTGTGTCTTAAGCCTTTGTTACACTACTTTACAGCTGTACGCGCGCTTTAATAGTAAGAAACAGCTAACATTAAGAGGCTAGAGTAGGTAAGATAAGTAAGGTAGTATATAGAGCGTGTAGATATTATTCTCTTTGCAGAGCTCTTAAAACTTAAGAGAGTAGTAGCTCTTATAGCTATTAAAGATAAGCAGGCAACGCGCACTAATAACGCAAGTCTTTGTATAAGCGTTAAAGTGCTTTAGCTACTCTACTTCTAGCTTATTATTTGTCTAGCTGTTGTTACTAACTGCGATCGCCTAGTTGCGTAGGATATCCTTCTTATACTAGGCAGACAGGTGATACTAGCTAGCGAAGATAAGGAATAGTAGGACTAACTAGCTAGCAGCGTTAATTGCTGTAATTAACGTTACCTACTCACGATTACTAAGCTAGATAGCCTTTAGCCTGCCTCTTCTCTCTAACTCTATTATAATAAGCTAAGTTGTAATCTTGCTTATTATAAAGCTAGCCTTATTAAAGTTGTATACGTTACTATTGCAGATGCTGTACTTAGCTGTTACAAGGTAACAAAGAATTGCTTCTTTATATAGGTTGCATAGAGAGAGACCTTTAGGAAACTACAACGAAGGGTTGCTAATTAAAGGCGGGGCCTAGATCACGTAACAAGGATAGCATCTCGCTAAGACCAGACACCTCGAGATGTTAGGTCCTCTCTAGATGTCCGACATCTAGAGATGCTAGGCGCATCTAGGAAGCAGCGAGCTTAGCTAGAAGGCAGATACAGATTGCAATAGGTATAAAGGATAGACAGATTTTATTATTACACTCGTTGTAGTTAACTTAAATAGTTTATCTCTTACACAGATTATTAACTAGTTATTCTATTATAGAATTAGTATTGTTTATCCTTTAGTTACAACGATAACTTCTTTCCACCTAATTATTCTATACGATACCTTACAGACTACCGCTTTAGTCTACCTCGCCTTAGTACAGACCGAGCCTAGAGAAGTATAGCCTAACCCTGTGTAACATTAGCCTTTGTCTCCTCTATAAGCTTAAACTAGCTCTTAATTAGGGCTAAATCTTTGCATAGAGCTCGCTGCCTATTATACGCTTAATTAAAACATGTCGTAAGACTGTCTGTACGCTTAACAAAGTTGCGCGGCTAGTAGACGCTAACCTAACTAGCGCCGCGCGCAGCTAGCAGCTTATTAGCTATATTACGTACAGCTTTGTACGTAGGCGCAAATCCACGTGTATCTAAATTAAGTATATATCTAATAATTACCTACTTCTCTCGCTTAGTAAGCTTCCTTAAGTTAGGCTAGCAATCGCGTTAGGCAGGTATCCTAGCGCGTTGGCGGCGGAGCGTTGCTTTAGCTACGTTGTAGATCGCTGCAGCAGGACGATTGCCCTAGATTTGTTAAGCATTAATAGATAAGATAGCAAGCTAAACATTAGCTTTATTTAAGAGTAATTAAGTAACGTTGCGTAGAGCTATTGTAGATTGAGATAGGTGAGGTGCGCAAAGTTAGTAGGGTGCGTCACTCGCTTGTACGCGTCACTCGCTTGTAAAACATGTTAGTGTTTTTGCACTTTCGTCAATCATCCCTGTGTTTTGCACAGTGCGGCCATATATCCTCCCGGTGGAGGCGCATGTCGAACCATAACCCGAGGAGCAACACCGTAATCCTCTCACTTTTTCGTCCGTTGCAATTCCCAACGATGAAAATCTGTACATATAAAATAATCTTTCGTCTGCGGAAAAAGAGATATCCGCATCAACCCACCTTCGAGCCTTACTTTCGATATGCAAGGCTTCAAAGACTTCGACCCCGCAAAGGATGTTGGTGACCTCTTGGGCAAGGTTATCGTGATAACCGGAGGTTTGTACATCGGTCCCTAAATGTTGACAGCGCCCTAACAATCATCCCAGGCACCGCGGGTTTAGGAGAAGAAAGTGTTCGAGCATTCGTGGCGCACAACCCTTTGCACATCTATTTCACAGGCCGGAACATCATTGCAGCGAACACATTAATCTCCGACATCAAAGTCAAATACCCAACAGCATCGCTGAGCTTCATCAAGATGGATCTCTCGTCCCTTCGCGCTGTCAAGGAAAGCATAGCGGAAGGGTTCAAACACGATCGCCTTGACATACTAATGAACAACGCTGGGATTATAGCCAAGCCAGCCGCCTTGAGTATCGATGGCTACGAGATCCAGTTCGCGACGAACTATCTCGGCCACGCGATGCTCACCAAACAGTTGTTACCCGTTCTACTCAAGACAGCCAAAGATCCCAACTCAGATGTTCGCATCATCAACACCACCTCTGCGGGTTACGAATTCCACCGCGCCATCAAAGGTGGCATTTCCTTCGAGGAGCTCGACTCTGGAAGCACGATGTCCAGGTTGGTACTAGGGGGATGGATCCGTTATGGCCAATCTAAACTCGCGACTATTCTTTTCACGAGGGAGCTCGCACGTCGACACCCAGAGCTGACATCCGTGGTGATCCACCCAGGGCTCGTCAAGACACCAATGAATACCGAGATGGCCGGCTTGAGCAAGTTCTTCGTGAATGTAACGTCGCGGCTTTCGGGCGAAAAGTGGCTTGAGCCGCACCAGGGTGTTCTGAACCAGCTTTGGAGCGCAGACGGAGCGGAGAAGGGAGCATTGAATAATGGAGCATACTACACGCCAGTAGGTGTAGATTCGACGGAAAGGTTGACAGCAGAGGCTAGAAATCAAGCTCTAGCAGAGAAGTTGTGGGAGTGGACGGAGAGTGTGTTGCTCAAGGTCTGATAAGTGCGACTGGGTAGTTTAGCAGCACTCTCCAGTTACTGAGAATATACTCCTTTCCAACCTCTCATCAGCTCAGGACTCAGCTCATTCATGTATGAGACCTACTCTTCAATTTACCATAATGGAAAGCTCTACGTAGAAATCTTGAAATGTTTCTTTGTTTTCTTCTTCTCATTCTTTGTTTTCCTGGTATGTGAAGCTAAAGCCTTATTTTCTTTACCTCATAGCCGGGGCAGTAGGTTTCGGCTACGTAATGCCGAAGAGAGGGTAGATACTTTGGTCAAATGCTTGTGTTTTTAATTTGTACCAGATTAAGTTCTGAAGTATGCACGTAATCATGCATGTTGATTTGAGATGAATCGATTTGCTGGGGTGCTCCAAACTGGACAGTGAATCGGCGTAGGCCACACATCGTCGGTCTTATTGCCAACCACTACAATTTCAAGTAGATACCGCAGCATGACATGAATTAAATGCTTATAAGTAACCTCGTGCGATGCCGGATTAATGAGAAACGTTGTATAAGCACTGTACCGCTTGCGAAGGGGCCAGGAAGGTGGCAGCTGGAATACCGCATCGAAAACCAGTTGTTGGGAAAATTGCGACGCACTTCGTTATCGGGAAGAATGTAGGCTGGTCGCTCGACGCGCATTTGGGACAAATTCGATGATGGTGTCGCAAAACTCGCGTGGAGGCGATAACAAGTTTTCACGCACGGCACTGATGATGATGTGAGGACGGGCGCAAAAAGATGAGGGCTGAAGCACACATAGACCCAACGAGGGACCTCCGAGACTAGTTGAAGACGCTAGGCTAAATATGTATATAAGCTTTGGTCGGACCCGCTCAGGCCTGTTGTTCGCAGCTGCCCGTTTCCACTTGCTCGCTTCTGCCGCGTGATGAGCGCCTTCTACTTGGCGCTGCTACCTGAAAGCTTGGAGTAGAATGGCGCCCTGCACGCAACATTCAATCTCATCGCCTCTTCAGACTACCGAGCTCATATCATCCACTCTGATTAGTTTTGTTCAAGTCGTTCACCACTTCGATTGACTCTGTGATCTATGTGGTGTGACATCCGCAGTGGTCAGCTATCTTCGACTCCGTCAGAAGTGATGAACACTGTTCGCGCTTGCTAGGATAGATGGTGAAAAAATAGAAGAGGATGAGGAAGAGAGAGAGAGAGACAGAGAGGGATAGTGAGGTCGAGTTGAAAGAAGCATTGAGGAAGTAGGAGCGGGGTTTGAGCATATGTTATGGACTAAGATTAGACTTGCGTTGTAAAAAGCAACAAGGCCGATTTGCCAAGATGAACAATCACGATTAGAATTTGAAGATCAATGTTCAAGATTAAAGATGTAGTTTATGCTATAGAATAAACTACTGAGGTATCGCAGAGGTATATAATCCTTCCTTTCCTTCGTGTTATGCTTTACTTTACGTTTCGCAGAACCCAAACATTACTTCGTACAAGTGACTCATTCGTGTCATCACAACATGAATAAAACACTACCCATTACTCCATCTAGTGAACGGAGGCAGTGCGGTGGTTCTTCTCGGTGTCGATGACAACGGAACCGTTCCTCTCGATCATGGCAGTGCCACCCTTCTGGAGAGAGCTCTCGACGAAGGTGTGGGTTGGGCGCCACTTGGCGGAGGTACGGGGGGTAGTCTCGGCCATCATCTGGTCGACCTGCTCAAGGGAGAGACCCTTGGTCTCGGGAACCAAGAAGTAGGTGTAGACGAAAGCGATGGTGCAGAGACCTCCCCAGATGAAGAAGACGGAGGACCTCAGGTTACCCTCATCCTTGCCAACCATGTAGGGGGTGATGACGGCGATGATGGTGTTCCAGAGCCAGTTGGAGGCAGTGGAGAGGGCAACACCACGCGAACGGATGGGAAGAGGGAAGACCTCACCGATGAGGACCCAGGCACCAGGACCCCAGGTAGTAGCGAAGAAGAAGATGAAGATGGCGATGAAGGCGATCTGGGCGTTGACGGCGGAGATGTTGTTGGCGCGGGTGGTACCATCTGCGAGGGTGGTGGAGTTGTTGAAACCCTGAGTAACACCGATGATGGCAACCAAGAACTGGCAGATCAACATACCGAGGGCACCGAAGAGGAGGAGTGTGCGGCGACCGAACTTCTCCATTCCGTAGAAGGAAAGAGGAGTGGAGCAGACGTTGACCAGGGTGAAGACGAGCGAGATCAAGAAGGTGTTGCTGATGGCACCGGTCGATTGCAAGAAGGGTGTGGAGTAGTAGAAGATGAAGTTGACACCAGTCCACTGTTGCATCATCTGGAGGGAAGTACCGAGAATGGTCTTGCGGAGGTTGGAGTTGGACTGGAAGAGGGAGCCCTTGAAGCAGTTCATCCATCCGGCAAGCCAGCCACCAGCAGGGATAAGCTCGCGCTCGTACTCCTCGTTGGCGATGATCTCGGCAAGTTCGAATTCGACCAGGGACCTGAGGTGGGCGGCATCGGGGCTAGTTGGGTGTACACCACGGATCTTCATCAGGGCCTTCTTGGCCTCATCGGGACGGCCGCGCTTGACGAAGTAACGAGGGGAGTCGGGAAGGCAAGCAATACCAGTACCCAAGATAAGACCCCAAGCGAACTGGATACCGATGGGAATGCGGTACTCGCCACTGTCACCACGGTCCTGAACGGCGTAGTTGACGCAGGCAGCGAGAAGGAGACCAATGGTGATGCAGAATTGGTAACCGGAGACGAGCGCACCACGAACCTTCTTGGGGCAAATCTCGGACATGTAGAGAATGACGATAGCAGACTCGAAACCGACACCAACACCGGCGATGGCACGACCAGCGACAAGGAGGTCACGTCCGGTTGCAGCCATTTGCAGGACAACACCTAAAGCGGGGGTTAGTGGCTGATCAACATGGTAGTACATGCGGGGATTTCATACCGATGATGTAGATGAGACAACCCAAAACGATCGTCCATTTACGACCAATCATGTCTGAGAGATCACCAGCGATGAGAGCACCGAAGAAGGTACCAGCGGAAAGGATCGACACAATGAGCGAGGTGTTGCTGGAGCTGATAGCGCAAGCGCCATTGGGGGTATCAAGACCCTGGGGGCAGATGGGACCCTCGACCTCCTCGATGAAAAGAGGCGAGTTGAGCACACCGTTAACATAACCGGAATCGTAACCTATAGGATATGTGGTCAGCGGCTGAAGTCGCAAAGATTGTCGATCATCATCTTACCGAAGAAGATACCACCGAAGGATGCGAAGGCACAAAGGAGGTAGGCCTTCCAGGTAACGGGGCACTCAGTCATGTTGACATCAGTGGTAGCTTGGATGCCCTTGGGGTTGGCGGCCTCGTCGGCCATGTCGTGGTTGCTCATGTTGAGTGATGGAGCGAAGGTGTAGGCAGGGGAAGTTGACGATGCGCTCTATCTGAAGCTGTGCAGGTAGAACTCGCAAGCGGCCTTGGACGAAGAGGTGAATCTGAACGGGGTGCGTTGAGGGTTAATAACAATGCTGGAGATTTGAGATCTAGCTGTTCTGCGCGACAAGCGTACCGCAGAAATGGCTAGGTAACATTGCGTCTCAGCTAGTCGGCGTCTGTGCTTCCCTGCTATTGGGTGCGTTAGCCCTGCAGGCCCGTGAAAGGTGTACGCCACTGGCCATCTGGGGTATGGTCGCCCGCGTTTTGCCCTCTCCAGCTCTTTCTCCAGGCCCGACTAGCCTAGCAATTTGACAAGTGTCGGACCGGCATTTGAACCGGCTGTAATTTGCCCTTGGCGACCAGCGCACGGACTGCGCAATTTACAGTCTAGAACGCTTCCAGGTTTTCAGAGCCGCACGTGAGGGTTCCCCGACCAAGGGTTCCCACTTCACTAGACCCCACCATTGTGGCCCATGGAGTCTATTGTTGCCCATGGAGTCGGCTAACGTGCGTCTGGAGCAAGCAGAGCCTTAACTACGCTAGCCCCCAATACCAGGTCTGCGGCGCCCTATGCTCGGCTCACTCCGCCAACGCCGTCTACGTCTACTCGAGCTCACTGCGATGCTGCGCTGACGATGCGCCGAGTGAATGGCCTGTGCTATACTTTCAACCGCCTCTTGTTCCTTCCCCAGAACAAGACCTGGTGGCGGTGAGCTAATGCAACAGTGGCCGTCATGACCATGAACTGCTGATGCTGAAGTCGTTGGTCATGGACGCCTTACGGCCAATACGAGACGATACTCTGCTGCCCGTCGGAGCTCCTAATTAAGCGCGTGTGACTCCGCGAGTCAATGCAATTACCCCAGCACCACCAACCAGCCTCCCCTTCCTGTCCCGACAGTCGAAACCTCTAGCCAGGATGCCCTTGCACACCGTCCCAGGTGCGGCTGCAGGTCATCCGACTATGGGAAACTCAAGGCCAGTCCCTTCTATACGAGAGGTAAACCGTGGTAGTCGTGATGGCCGCCACCTGGACGAGGAAGCGCATGCCGAGGCTGTTCCTTCACGTGGGTCGGTGCAAATCACGCGGAGGGCTCCCCAGGCTTTGGTCCGATCCGGCCCACAGGTCTGATTGGCTCTAGAACGCGCTAGTGGCTCAGCCCGAGGAGCTTGACGTGGAAAAGAATTCTGCCCCATGTCCTCGAGTCGCAACGAGAAAATCTTCTGCGTCTCGGCTCCTGGCGAGCAAGTACATGACAAAGCTTTCTCGCCTACTCCGACAGCTGCTGTCCCGACGTTTTTCCAGCCCAGCGCATGACTCCACATGCACCTATCTTCGGTCCCACAAATGGTCCCGCGTACCCAACTTTCTCCAAACGTTTGTGCCATCTCTCCCCACATCATCTCACTCGAGCATCGCATGATGCATAACCTCTTCAGCTACAGCCTTTGGAATGTCCAATGCCTCTGCAGCTCCATGGAGAAGTAGTTTGATCGGTCGAGTTGCAAGAGATGTTCTGCAATTGTGAGGGTACTGCAGTTTATTCTTGATGAAAGACGTGTCTGCTTATCTACTTATCATCAGCATAGATTTTAGTCCTTTGCTTGTCTGCGCGCCGAGACAATGCAATGCAGCAAGGCTGGCCAATGACCGCGAGGTCGGCGGGGTAGTCTTCACAACCGCAATCCTTCAGCCTTCCGCGACTGCCTTGACAGTGTTCCTCCCGAACGACTTGCATCTACGCCGTCGAAACCATTAAATCTGTTTTCATGGCGTGGCATGACGCGACATGCGCAACGCTGGATCTGGAGTGGGAAGATGGACAGCCAGGGTGCCGCAAATGTGAGCGCAAGGCGCCTAAGCTAGCGCCTGTCCATCCGATTTCCCCACCTGCACCCCCGCCAGACACACCGCGGTCAGAGCTGATATGCACATGGCCTCCAAGCTTGTTTTCTCAAGCTCAAGGCGGAGATGACGAGGACTCAGATACGCTAGCTCGTATACTGGCGAACATCGATGAATGGACTGGTACTACTTCTACCCGATCATCGCAAAGGGAGCTGAAATCCGACCAGCAGACCCCGCAGCAGCAGCCACTAGATCGAAGCGAACCAGATTTACTGTTTCAGGGTGTCTATTCGCGTCTTCCGGATGCGAACTCCATTCGTCTCCTACGCCTTCGTGGTAGCGAAGACACCAGCCACCCCGTCTGCGGCACTCTAGAGAATCATCGACTTCACGATCCCTGCCGACCTATTTTCGAGGCGTTTTCATATACTTGGGCAGACTCACAGGGCAATTCTTCTTTGTGCAAGACCATCTTTCTCGGCCCACAGTATGATGTGCTACCAGTCACGACGAACTGCTTGGCGGCGCTCCGGCGGTTCAGAACTGTTGCCGACCGTCTCGTTTGGGTGGATGCGATCTGTATCAACCAGTTCGACTTGGAAGAGCGCGGACATCAAGTCTCACTTATGAGAGATATATATACCTCTGCAGCGAGGGTCCTCACGTACCTGGGTGACAAACATGATCTACTTGACACTGTAGCTGAGCGTTCAGATAGCGACGGCCAACGCTTCGATCCACTTCATGTGGATCTTAAAGCGATTGTGCGCATGCCTTACTTCTCGCGCATCTGGGTAGTTCAAGAGCTGCTGCTTAGCAAAACCGCCAGCCTGACCTTTGACGACCATACAATGCACTGGACAGATTTCTCGTCACATGTGAAGTCCTTAACTGCAAGTAGAGAAGATGGGTTTTACGGGAACTGGGTCGGACTTTTGAGTAAGAGAAGGAGAATCAAGGATCTGATGTCGGCATTGCAGATTACGCAGGACTGCCGATGTAGCGATCCGCGTGACCGGGTATATGGGTTGATGGGCCTGGTAGACGATGAAGATCGGAACAACTTCCCGATAGACTACGAACTCAGCGTACAACAGCTTTATACAGGCTTGACAATGTACTGGCTTACGAAACCTGGTAGTACGTTCTCTTCAGGCTATATATTGCATCGTGCTTTTTTCCCCAAAGAAATTCCTTTCCTCCCTTCTTGGGTTCCGGATTGGACATCATCGCTGAAAGCAGCACATACAAACCTCAAGGCAAACTCGATACCTGTAACTCAAATACGGCTACCCGGTATGATAGGATGCGATCATTCTTCCGGTCTGAGTTGGTTCAGTTCTCCTTTCGCCAACGAACGAGATGATCTCCGACATGGATGGTCGCTTGACGACAACTTCTGGAATCATGTTTGTTCAAGAGAACCCCAACGGAGTGATCGCTCCGCGTTTGAACCCAGATACTCGTGGGGAAAGCTCGCTATAGATGCAGGATGGAATCCTGATTCCCCAGCAAGACTGCTCTCAGCTAATGGTATATTGGCGCTTGATGCTGTCCACATCTTATCTATTCGTGAGGGCAAAGTGGAAATTATTGACACCGATGGAAAGAGCCTGCAAGGGTTGTATGTCGCCGGCTCGGATCACAGCAATTCTGGCGACACATATGCATCCGGACGAAATCGACTTACATATCGTTCTGAACTGGCAGCGTCCGTTTTTACTCAAACGTTATCGGGATGGTGTTTATAGTCTCAACAGCCCGTGTCGCATATCCTACACCCCCGAAGGTCCTTTGGCTGATCTTGGAGCCCATCGGAGATTACCAGACATAGTAATGAACCTTGGATCGTTGGAGACTCGAATCGTAGAACGCTGGCTGATTAATCTTTTCTTTTTTGGAGTTCGTGCCGGTACCGCATTCGCTACCTCCAGAGACAGATTTCTGATCCAGCAAAAGTGGTTTGATTGGCTTCCAGTAGCATCGGATACTTGCTTAGGCATGGAATTCTTACTCGATCGCTATGCAAAAGGAGAACATGATCTCCTGGCACTAAGCAGCATGACAGACTTACGAAACGACATCATGCATTTCGTCAGGGAGAACGAGATTTGCGGACCCCATGCCAGATCGCAATTTTGTTTACCAGCCTCGATTAAAGACAAAGCACTATTCGAATCTTTAGTCGATCTGTTTCCTGATCCTTCATGCAATAGAGACGTGGATACAGAACTCGCTACCCGTCTTGAACAGGCTGAAGCAGCTTGGTGTTGGCGAACACTTTCGATGCAAGAGATGATTGCCTCTTTGAAAGGGATAGTAAAACTTCAGCAAGATGCCTGCAAAATATACCCACCGTTAGACACAGCCATGTCAGACCTCAGCGGTATTGCATTCCGACCTCGCATCGCCGTCCAATTACCCACCAACCTTGTTGGTAACGCTTTTAGTCTTGAAAGCTTCGAAGCTTTGCATCCTCTTTTATCACCAATAGTACAGGGCGAGAAACCGCCAACTGGGAATTCGAGATTTTTTCTCGATGAAGGTCGAATTGTCCAAAGGGCTTGGTCGCTATTGAAAGATCTGACAATCGATGTGAAGTATACGCTCCAGCAGAACCTTAGCATTTTATGGATCCACGTGTTGACGATGGAGATGGTGGCACGACTACGCGGTGTGCTGCAACAGCGGCTCATATTGAAGGCTATTAGGGACAAGATGAAGAACGTGCAAAGCATATACCTTATTTAACCCAGATAAGCCGGTTCGGGTTCACGTATTATCGAATTTTCAGAGTAATATTGCTACCCTATGGCTCTCTTCCTTCAGTATTTACGTTGTTCGAATTTTGTTGTTGAAGCTAATGGCAAAAGGCACAAGATGCGCAGGAAATAGTGATTGTATTTCCATCCACTAACATGTACAGAACAGCGCAGCACGGCTGCGACTATCACACTAATATTTATATAGAAAGGGCCACTTGGCAACATCAAATCCTTCAATCACCTCGATCGTCGGAATCATCCAGCGAGCATGCTTCGGGAGTATGGAAGTGCATCGCTTATTCCTTGCGGAGAAGAGCCTCACGGAAGGCACGGCGGCCGCGCTTAGCCTTGCCACCATTGCAATTCTCAGCGTTATGCGCAACAGCCTCGCTGGCAACAGGTGCGGAGGAAGGTGCGGAAGAAGGCGCGGAAGAGGGAACGGGCGAAGTAGTGTCCTCGGTAGGAGTCTGAACAGGGGATTGCGCACCGCTGCTGTTGCCGCCAGTCCAGACAGCTGGGCCGGGCATGGGGTACTCCTTGTATCCACCCCAGATGCTGAAGTTGAAAGACTCGTCGTCCTGCTTGTACGCTCCGGGGAACTTGACGGTGGGACCAGGGGTGCCGCTACCGCCTCCGGTAACCTTGACTTGAGCGCATCTGTCGAGTGTCAGTTTATGTCGCTATGGAGTTGGTGAAGAGAAGAACTCACCCGTAGTAGAACTCAGCCTCACCACCGTGAGCACCGTGGATACCAACATGCTCCGAGCGAATCAAGTACTCGCCCTCAGGAACCTCAGCAGGGACGGTGAACTCAATCCTGTCGTTGTCCCAAGTGCACCAAGCAGTACCCAAGAAGTCCTTGCTGGGGTCGCAAACACCCGACTCGAAGATCTTGAACCACTCGCCATCACCCTCGTACTCCTTGACGGAGCTGGGCGCCTTCGACATGTAGACCATAGCAGGACCGGGGTGCTTCATGGTAGCACCGACACCGAGCTTCATGGCCATTTTGGTGCCAGCTGCGACCTCCTTTACTCCAGTACGGCCAGCGGACTCGAAAGCACCCTTGTTGCAGCGGAAGTCGTCCATATCGGGAGTCATGTCGTCGCGGGTGTTCTTCCACTTGGTGGGGTTGTACTTCTCAGGGCGGGTGTTCTCGCGGATGAACTCATAACCCTTTGACTCCTGGCCGTCAACGACCAAGACATCGAAGAAGTAGTGGGCAGAGGCGAGCTGCGCAATGGCGGCACCGGCAAGGATGGAAAGCTTCATGTTGAACTGATGATAGTTTTTGAAATGGACTGGTAGGTGAAAAGATTGTATAGTAGGACTAGCCTGTAGAAACGAATGTAGTAGCGAAAGACTGAAAAGCGACGGAAGAAGCGAAAGACGATGTGCAGGAATGTGCTGGTGGCCTCTTCATTGTCGTCCGCTGCTGCTTCTTATGTACCTGAGCAGAGATACCTATCTCAGCTTCGCGGTCAATGTCGCTAACTGTTTTTGGTGCCCAGACTCCTTCTCTCCACTCACTCCTTGCGAGCCCCTCATCATTGACGTTGGTTTTCACAAGAAAACAGTCGTTCAGCGTTTACTTCCATCGACGCATGAGGCCGAGGTCTCTTGGCGGTGGTACTATTTCCGCTCTGCCGCCCAGCTGTGGCGAAGCGAGATGAACACACAAAATGTGAGAGCTGTCACCGTGGTTTTCACTGCCGTAGTACCCGCTTCTGGGTGCTAGTTACCGCAGCGGTGGGCCTGTCACCAACAAAATGGTACGGCTGACCGTTTCAAACAGTGATATTGGCATCGGAAGCTTGGCATTCGGGAGTCTTATTTGTTGGAGACGTGCAAGTACCAGGTTTTATGGAAGGCGTTGCCGGCGCCAGAAGTATTCGGTGGAGTCCAGGTTCTGGTAAGTAAAGTCTAGCATATCGCCCACATCGGGATGATGGAAGGTTCCCTTTCATTACATTTGTGTGGTATACGGGACCTCTTAGCGCTGAGGTGTCTCTGTCGACGTCTGCCTCCTGGAAGGATCCTTGGAATCTCAGTACATAAGAAGGTATGTGGATTGTTTCTCCGCCCTCTCAATGTGAAACTCTCAGTGACGATAAGGATGCATGGAGGATCCTACATGCTCGAGGAATGGTGATCAGGATCCAAGCCGCAAGCCCACCCACCTGCAACCTCGGTGAGTTATGACCTACCACCTAGCGCCCGTTTATCTCGTACCTGTGCTATCAGTAGGGACCTTACGCAGACTTGGCATACAAAGCGGCTAACGAACATCGATCGACTTTCGAAAGCGCGGCTCAGAAGGATATATATGGTTGACGTCTGGTCATAGCAGTATTATACAAAGCGACCGCGGTTAACAAAGTCAATTAGTGAGCATATTCGAGTTCGTTTTCAGCCTCTCCATTCCAGTTTCTGGGTACGGAAGAGTCTATGCGGAATTCCAAGCCGGTGGGATCGAATCTCCTGAGTCAGTAGTGGTTCACTTCTACCTGCACTTTAGCCTAAAGACCATCATGAAGGACCTGATCCAATGTATCCACAATGCATCGGTGTGTGGGGAAACGAGCTGTAGCGTGTTTCTGTTTCCGCCTGTGGCTTGTTTCAAACGGTGCTGCAGTCGCGAAATGGTGCCGAACATGAATGCAGGCAGCCTTGTGATTGCTGAGATGCCCATTGCTGGGAGCAGTGAGTGCAATGTGAGTGTCTGCTCACCTACTTTAAGAATAGTCAGGCGATCGAAAGTGCTAACTTTTATCGCTATCGTACGTTAGCCTGGTGTGCAAAAGGGGCTAGATTCAGCCTCTGCAGGGCATACCGAATTAGGAGGCATGGGATACGAGTGCAGCCTGAGTTTGCGCTACGAAGGGGTATGCGTGTTGAATTCAACCCGAAAATGAGCAATCTTCATGGGACGAGCAGTGATATCTCCGTGGGACCAAAGTGTGGCAGTGCAACGTGGCTTGACGCCCTCACACTCCACCCCCGTCGAAATTCCACGGTCGGGCTTTAGGAAAATGTCCGGAAGCTATTGGATTGTGGCGTGAAATCAGACTGCTTACCGACACCGTAGCTGCACTAGCGCATGAGCCTAATCCAACGATATATTCTCTATGCTGGAAGGGTTGCTGCGAACCTGTTGTTCTGGTCCGAGGAGAAACGCGGTGCACCAAGATGGTGTTGTGATGTTTGGTCACAAGCAACGCATCCCCGCGTCGCCTGACCCTGTCATACGTCATCACCATCAAGCCATGTGGCTGCACTATTGTATTGATTTTCTCCTTGTCTTTTACTCCGAGTTTGCTGCTATCAAACAAATGCACAAAATTTGCTCCATCTCAAAAAACATTAATTGCCTCGCCGAGAAGTTCAGTATCTAATTTCCCTTGCCATCTCATTCCGATAGCGAAAGCGGTCAATCGTCATGTCAGCTACCACGGAGCAAGAGCAAGCACCGAACGTACCGACCAACAACCTCAACGTCAAGCAGCAAAACCGCATTCAGAAAAGGCGACTTGCTCGTCAAAAACTCATCACGCACCTGGCTCTCTCACGGCAGAACAGGCCATACATCCCTGGCGTGGTCCAAGGATGCATGCGTCCACCACGAGGCCCAGACGGTCGCTTCCTAACACCCGAACAAATCACCGTTATGCAGATGGAGGCTCTCGAGATACAGGAAACCAAAGGGAAGCCTGCAGAATGCCCGAATGAGAAGCCAAAACTCTGAATTCTCGGGGGCACTTTTGTCTCTATCTAGTACACCAAAGCATTTCCATCTCAGACTCCATGCACCACCGCCCAGGAGGTTCTCAAAGCACCACCGTCTTGTCACCTGGACCCAAATATCAAACCCAGAAGGAGATCCCATACTCCCAGCACCTTCCCGTCTCAACTCAGATCTCACATCCAGGAGCTCTTCATAGCCCCGTCACCTTTTCGTCTGACGTCTCAGTTTCCACCAAGTAACACCTCCATACCACCCTTTTCCATCTCACAAAACAAACGCATCCTCCCCTCTATCTGCTTCCTCCTGCGCCCTCCCGATCGGATCATCCGCATACACAACCTTGACCTCCCACATACTCGTCGCATTCATAGCCATCAACACACCACCGCCTTTACTTCCCTTCTCCCACCTACCAATCTCCTTGACGTTTTCTTCATCAAGAAGAAGAACTGTCATGATGTATTTTGCTGTTTCCCTAGCGGCTGCTCGCTCGATGAATGAGCCATGGAGCTGTGTCGTAGTTGCATAGCCTTTTGGCTTCCCCGGGGAGAACTTTGACGAAAGCGGTGCTGAAGAGGATTTCGAGGCTGATGCTGAGGCAGAAGAAGAAGAAGAAGATGATGATGATTTGGCTTTGAGCGGCATAGCAGCGTGCTCAAGGGGTCCAACGGAAAGTACCGTGTACACTGGCGCGGGAAGAATATCAAAGACTTCCTTGTTGATTTCGCGTATCATCTTCAAGATTGTGTAAGATCCCCTCTGTCCCTCGACAATAAAGACTTCAAACCCGTTGTTGAAGAAATGCTCGTTTGGCTCTGTTTCGCCCCACATGTCTTCGGTCTCTTTCAGTTGTGCAAGCTTGTCGATGGCTGTTGGTGAGTTGCTGACAATGGCTTCGATGCGGGGAAGGAGGTGTCTGAACGCTTTGGTGGGGCCGATAATGTCGTGGGAGTCGACGTGGGGCTTGGTGATGGAGAGGTACCAGATTGTGCTGGGCGCGGCGGCGGGGACGTCGAGGACGTCGGAGGGCTTTTGCAAGGTAGCGGTAGGTGTGGTTGGTGTTGTGAAGGGGAGGACTTCGGCGTCGCCTTCGAAGAAGACTTCCTTGGACATTGCGGAATGTGGGAAGCAGTCGAGGCCTGTTGTTGTTGTCGTCAATCGTGTTGCTGTCGATGTTGGGGATGTGTGGTCGAGTGCAGTAGCTGTGGGGTTTATATAGGTGAGAGACTTAGGACATGTATACGGAATCAGTGGATACAGGCGTTGATGCCTGAGCGCGTTTGCTAGATGACGTTGTCACCTCTATTGTGCGCATCCGCTCCGAGGCTAAGGCCACAGGCGGTGGCAGTCAGGCTACAGTATCAGTCGCTGGTAGACCGCTACCAACGGCCTAGATGCCTCCACGCGGTTATATAACACGTGATATAATCCGAAGACGGCGACGTGTAGCCGTCTGGTGTTGGAGTTCGAAATCGCAGAGCGCTAGGTTAGCAGGTTCGATGTGACTTCAGATGATCGTACGGTTGTGCATTGGTATCTCCTATTGAAATAAAGACAATCCGCCTCATAGAATACATGTTGGCTTTTATACTCAGTCCCTGAACGCCAGAGCGCCATACGCATGCAGAAAGCGACCTGAACACGTCACTTAGCCTTCCATATGACTACATCACCTAATGTCTCTTCGCCCTCTTGTCCTTGCCGGGTCGTTTGCTCGCACCGCCGCTGGGCTTTCCCTTCATCCTGCGAGCTGAGAAGCCGCTTCCATCTGCACTGGACTCCGCAGTGTTGCTCTTCGCGTGACGCTTCTTGCCGCCGAAACCGTACTTGGAGTCCTTCTTTGCGCGCTTGTTGAAGGCCTTGCCGTCAGCTCCACGACCGCGTTTGTCTTTGGGGTCCTCGGCGGTGGCGGCGACATCGAAGAGGTCTTCCTCATTCGTAGCTGTGATATCGGCACCTTGTCGCTCTGCATATTTGTTAGCATACCGTTATTTGTGTTCCCCAATAGAGGTGGTACATACTCCTCTTGAGAGTCTGAATCTTCTCAATTGTGTCCTTCTTCTCCTTGGCGCGCTCCTGCAGCTTCGCGACCTGGACCTGCTTGCCAAACTTCTTCAAGTCTCTCTGCTTACGTGCCTCAGCAGCGGCCTTCTTGCCAGCAGCGGCATCAATCAGCTTTTGCTTGATCTTGCCCATGTGCTCATCGCTCTTGACCATCTCGGCAAAGTAGTCTGCTGGTCGAGAGAATGCCACACCCTCCTTCTTCAACTTCTTCCGCGCATCCTTGACACCAGACAGGCATTGCTTGTAGAACGCGAGCTCACGGTTGAGGTCATCTTCGACGTCGGCGATCTCGACAGGCTCATCCGTGGTAACGGCCTGGTACTCGGAGAAAGCAAGTTTGGAGTAAGGCAGTTGTATGCGAGTCAAGGCGGCGGTGAGGGCGGCCGTGTTGTTGATGGTGAGGCGCTGGTGGGGGATAATGTCACCCTTGTCCTCTGAGGCGACAGAGTCGAGATCAGAGAGTGCAATGTCGTCCTCATCCTCATCCTCCTCATCTTCCTCGTCATCGTCTTCAGCCTCCTCGGCCTCGGCTGCGGCATCCTCAGCCTGCAACTCTTCTTCGTCGGAGCTGATGTCACTCTCGCTGTCGTCCAGGTGAGAGAGGTCGATCGCCGGTCGCTCGGGCGCATCATCGTCGTCGTCACTCGCGTCGTCATCGTCTTCCTCATCCGTCTCCCATTCAGGCTCCTTGACTGCTGGCGCAGCCTTTGCAGGCTTTGCGTCGGTCTTTTTGTCCTTCTTCGACTTTTTCGTCTTGCCATTGACCTTGACCTCTACCTCATCTAGGGGCACAGGCACGCCTCCCTCTTCAGTATCCTCCTCGCCATTCTCCTCCGCCTTCTCGGCTTGTCGCTTTTCCTTCTGTTTGTGCGCCTGCTTCTCGTGCTTGCGCTGCTTCTCGAGCTTGATGTTCCGGCCCTGGTAGTTGTCGAGCGCGGCCTTGAGCTTGCTTTTCGCCATTTCGCTTGATTTCCAAGGTCGTTGTGAAAGGTGTTCGAATCTTTGGCGGCGCAGAAGATCAGACGTCAAAGCTTCCCAGAAAATAATTCGTAAACTGCGAACTCTGGGCGCAGAAACATTTTAGCGCGCACGCTAGCTTGACCGCCCCCGAAACGGGCAAGAAGCCGCGGCGAGGACCACGTGCTTCCGTGCGACCCCATCAACCTAGTGTTCACCTGTTCACCGTACATGTGCATGTCCTCCACAAGATACAAAACTAGATTCCACAGTCGCCTTTGAAACCGCTCCACTTGTCTACGAAGCATCAGCCACGTGCGGTCGTCTCCAACTCCCTCCTAAACACATTCCGACATGGCAACGCCTCAACCGCTGGCAGATCGCGCGCAAAGCGACACCGCGGTACGTGCTACACTTACGACAATGCCCCGCTCTCCCTGACACGAAAACAGTCAGCTGTATCAACCAACCAAGAGAGTTCTGGAGAGCTCACAGCTGTTGTTGACGACCTCTTGAACCAACTCAACACCAAGTTTACTACAGTCAGCAGCGAGCTACTTGCTAAGAGTAAGCAAGGGCACATCTGTGCAGAATAGCCAAGATACTGATGATGAGTAGTGGACGACATGTCACGGCGGCTGGATAATCTTGAAGCAACTATTCAGGCTGGAGATGGTAACAAGGGTTCAGGACCTGGAAAGTAGAGATCACGTGAATGAAGGCACACTGTTCTGATTAAACAAGGCGGTGTAGGCTGCACGATGAAAATGATGGCGTTTGGTAATTGTCTACATAGATCGCATTGATTGCAATTTGGGTATTGACTTTTGGTTCTATCCTATTCATCTCGCCTTCTCCTCATTGTCGTGATCACGTATGTCACTCCTGCTCCATACATGTTGATATCCCTACCTCATCATATCGTATCAATAGTGCTGGTGTTATAAATGCCGTTATCCGCAATCATCAGTCCACGTGCGAGCTGTCTACAACTCCTGCTTCTCCTCTGCATCATCACCGATGAACTTCCTCAGGATGTTGCTCCTGCTCATCAAGTCATCCATCTTCTCGGGCGCTAGGTTGCCCTTGCCAATGAGACCCTGCAGGCGCTTGAGCTCCTTTGCAGCGTATTCCTGGTTGGCACCGATCTTGTTGAAGACCTTGACGTAGTACTCGGCGTACTTGTCCTGGAGAGTGGCAGCGAGGCTCTTGGCCTCCTCAGCACCATCAGTCCACTTGCCCTGGAACTTCTCAATGACGCTGTTGAAGGCCTCGATGGTGCCACCAGTGGCGTCAAGACCACCGCCCACGGCACGGTGGGTACCGGCGTTGGCGTTGATGAAGTCGATGAAGTCCTTCTCAGCGCGGGCGCCGTTGTATGGGAGAGGCTCGGTGGAGCCCTTGGGGAAGTACTTGATGGTAGGGTAGGATGAAACGCCCTGCTCCTGAGCGAGGGCCTTGGAGTTCTCAGCTTCGGCGTCAACCTTGGCGATCAAGACATTGGGTTCGGTGACGAAGTCATTGGCGAGAGTTTCCCAGACGGGGGCGAGGGTCTTGCAGTCTATTCAGGTGTTAGCTGTAATCCATCTGCAGAGCAGAGCTGGGGAAAAAACATACGTCCGCACCATGGGGCGGTGAAGGCAACGAGCACATCCTGGTCCTTTCCAACCTTCTCCTTGAAGGTCTTGTCATCCAAGTAAACGACCTGACTGGGTAGCTTGCCCTTGACCTTGGGCTTAACGGAGCTCTTCTCTGTGATGAACTTGCTCAAGCTCTCGAGGTCACGTCCTCCACTGTAATCGGTAGGCTTGTCGCTCTTTCCGTCAAACCACTTGAGGGTAGGGAAGCCCGAGACACCGAAGCGCTTGCCCAGCGACTTGTGTTGGTCCGCATCGACCTTGGCAACGCTGACCTTGTCTCCAGCGTGCTGGAAGACGGCAGCAAGCTCTTCGTAAACGGGGGCGAGGTTCTTGCAGTGGCCGCACCAGGGAGCGAAGAACTCTACGAGAGCGGGCTTGCCGGACTTAAGGACGACATCGTCGAAGTTGGAGGGCGTGAGGTCGATGACGGATGATGCCGAGGCGATTGCGGGTAGCAGCGCGATAGCCGCAGGTATTAATTTGTAGAAAAGCATCTTGCAAGTTTGTGAAGCTCAAAGATGAATTGAGGCTCCAGTTGTGTGTTGAGGAGCGGTGGGAATTCTGGTGGGGAGCTAGAGCAGCACAGCGGCTATCAGGGTCCCGCGCGGTGGCGATCGCTTAGTGTGAAAGGTGTCCTCTGTTACGCGTCTGAGGGCGTTACAAATCCAACACCACAGCAACTGAGAATGACGTACATTTAACATCGGCCATGTATACTAATCACTTCGGTCCCCACGGACTTGCTTGTCTGCGACAAGGTATTGTATGCATTATCATTCCTGGGTATCACAAATCCATCGTCCTCTCAATCTGCATGTGACGATCCTATCACCTCCTACCAATCTTTAAAAGCTAATGCAACGACATTTTCCAATTGTTGCCCCCAGTCATGCCATAGCTCCCACTAACCGTCTTCTCATCCTCTTGTTTCCTTTCTTCTTTGACCCCCGGCTTCTTCTCCACCTTTGCGTCTTTCGCCTTCCCCAACTCCGCAGCAACTTTCTCCACTGCGCCCTTCAGAGCTCTTACGTCCGCGCCTCTTATCTCTTCAATTTTTTTCCCATCCTTGAAAACCATAAAAGTTGGCATAGCTGTGACACCGTATTGTCCAGCAATTTCCCTCTGCTCGTCCACGTTGACTTTGACAAAGGCGAACTTCCCTGGCGAGGCATGTGCAGTGAACAGTTGGTTGTAAATGGGTGCGATCTGCTTGCAAGGTGGGCACCATGTCGCGTAGAAGTCTGCGATCATGTAGGCGTGTCCATTCAGCAGGGTGCGGAAGTGTAGCGGTGCTGAAATTTCTGTTGGCATGATTGGGATTGGTACTGTTTGTAGATGTGGCGTGCTGGTAATGTATGCTGTATACGTTTGGGTGTGGTGTCTTGATGTGTCGTACGGTCAACAGTTGGGCTTTTATGTTGCGGTTGTTGTAAGGATCAGACTGCACTTTTGTATTTGCTTGTCGGTGGGATGCCGCAATGTTGTAGAAGGTTCTATTTTGGTAAACTACCATGGGCTGAAGCTCGGTCATGAGGTGAATGGTCTCGCCAATCAGCATTTGTCATCAGCTTGACAGTCACGTGGCAGCGCGCTTGATGCATCTGGTAGTCGGTGATAGCAACACGATGAGCAACGAAGCTACGCATGGTTGCGTACCGTATCTGGCAACTGTGCTCATTCCAACAAAGCATTGATCAACGATTCGGCAGTGAAAGCTTGAACCAGACTGATCTGGCGGTCTTGTGAATATGTGGCAGCGCAATGGTGAACATGCTAGTCTTTGTAGCCACCTGAAATCCTAAGAAAGATCCGCAACGCCTCGCTATGCCATTGTGTGCAGCAAGAACATAGCTGCACTCAAGAAGAATACACTGTCCTCCGCAGAACTCAGCCCCCACCTCTGCCAAGTATCTCTTCCCTTTCCAGTACTTCAGGCTTGAATTTAATCAAAAAGACCGTCTTCCCCGGCCACAGTCCCTTCCCATCCTTGCCTTCTTCGTCGCCTACACTATGCGCCGTTACACCTTCGGTTGGGAAGCCTGCGCCGTCGCACACGCCCTCAATTATGCCCGCCACAAAGGCCGCACAATTCAGACTTGACAGTTCCTTAGGCAAGCTTATGTATTGGTTGACCATAGGGTCGTTGTCGAAGAGCATGTACTGCCCGGGATCGGTACCAGACTTTTCTAACGCGTCGGCAGGGCGACCGAAGAGGTAGCGGTATAGTTGCTGTGCGATGAATTGCAGCAGAGGCAGGATACGTGTGGGTCGAATACTAGCGAGGGGGTTGGCGGTGCGGGAAAGGAGAAGGTCAAGTAGGCGGAGGCCGATGGGGTAGCCTTGGGTGTTTAGTCTATATGTTTGTTAGGACACATGTGAGGCATCGCGACTCGGTTCTTTCTGCCTACCTCTGCTCCAAGTCCCCCACATCCTTTGCGCCCTTTTGCGCATATGCAATCATCTCAATGAAGAGGTATGCAAACGCCGCTCTACTAAGTTCGGCATTTTTGCTACGATTCAGGTTCCTATCGTATATGCTCTTCTTGTTCGAAGGATACCGCAGCCCAGGCCCTTGGCTTGCGTTCCCGCTCATTGCTATGTGCTGCGCTTGTGGTTGCGATTGTACGTTCGACTGTGGGCGGATCGTGGCTGCAGACGAGGACGTCGAGGCTGCTTGTACGGGGCTGACTGCTTTCGAGAGCGACGACTGGCGCGAGGGGTAGTACGCGTGGTGCAGAGGCAGGATGTTGGACATGGTTGCTATTGAACCCTGGCTGTCTTGTTTGGCGGAGTCATGTGGGTCCGAGGGTCGTGCGTCGTGCGTCAGACTTGCCGCGGGTTGAGGCTGAAGATGCCAAGGCCAGTCTTGGTGTCTTGCACCCGTGCTTCCGACATCAGCCGTCCGACGTTCAACACCCTCACAAGGCGATTGGGATAACTAAGTTGAGAAGTCGATGATATTTATTGTGACTAGAATTTTCTATGTATCCCATCTTCACGTCACTGATAGTCGACTAATCCGATTTTGACCACTTCCGTGCTGACACCGTTCCACCATCCATAAGGATATCCGTTCCCGTGACGTACGAAGATTCGGCTCCAGCCAAAAAGACTGCGATGTTTGCGATTTCATCCGGAGTACCCATACGTTGCAAAGCCGAAACCCCGACCATAGTCTTTGGGCCTACACCCAGGGGTCCATCCAGTTGCGAGAGAAGTTGCGGAGTCGCAATGACTCCAGGGCTGATGCTATTTAATCGGGCTTGTCGACTGCCCCAAGCTTTTGCAGCACCTTGTACTCTCAGAATATTTGCCCGCTTCGAAACGGTGTATGCAACGTTGCCATCCAAGGATTCCATGTTCAGTCCTTCATGATCCAAAAGTTGCGTGAGAGGTGCGGTAGCAAGGTGGCGTTCCAGACTGGGGGAAAGGGTGATGAGATGGCCGGCCATACTAGCAATGCAAACCAAGGAGGTTCCCTCGGACGCAACAGACAAGAAAGCCTCGATGATATTGGCAGTACCGATCAAGTCCACGGCATAGATTTCTTTGGCACTGGCACTTCCGGGAGATAGGCCTGCCGTATGAATAATAGCGTTGATACGGCCCGCAGAATGAGCAGCATGTGCAAAGGCCTCGACGGATGGGTAGTGGGCGATGTTTACTGAATGACCTTCACAGCTAATACCTTCTTCCCGAAGCGTGGAAAGGGCATTGTTCAATGTGGCTTCCTGGAAGTCGGCTAGAAGAACGTGCTTTCCGGGAGCCAGTCGCTGTGCGACTGCGAGACCCATCCCACCAGCACCAATGACGACAACTACATTGCGAGTGTGATGAGACGATGTCATGACGGACATAGACCCCTCTCGTAGCTGCTGTAAGATTTGGAGAGATTGATAAGAAGAAGTTGACGACTATCGGTGCGACAAATTTGATAAGCGGTATGATGTTCTTGTGCTACGGTTGAAGTCCTAAATACTATTTGGTGTAACAAATCACTAGCTCAACCCACAGACCGAAACCTAAACCGAGAACGAGAACGACAGGATGGGGCCAAGCTACTCACCGATGGACCAATAGCCATGTCCGCTATCCGCAAGTCGCGATCCTTACATGATATCCCTCGAAACAGGCCCGATTCCACCAGAGTCATACAATGCTTTGCAACGGACTAGCAAATTCCAATCTCAAGCGTATCCGACGCGTACTAAGATGTGTCGAAGTTCACCGCTACTGGAGTCCGAGGGCCCGTGTTATGGGGCATCGTTGTCCGAGCAACCCGAGGGATAGAGATAACGTATCTTCTGCTATACATAGCGCACAACTTACGGTCTCCTACTTCCCAGTCACGCTGTCTGAATTCCAATACCTCCATTTGTGATTGTATGTCGACTAAGATATTTAGAGCTCCAGAACAACGAATGTATCCGGATACAAGAAAGACAATGGTGTCGGTCAAACTAACAAGAGAGCATCAAGACGCTTGGTTCAAAGTCATTGAGAGTCTATAGGTTCGTATTATAGCTGAGTCTACGATGATAGTGCCTTCTTGATAAAGTTTCTCCAGAACAAATCAGCTTGCCGGGTCTTCTACCCGTAGGCCAACTTATCTGGCTGGTTCGTTGTTGTTGGCAAAGCGGTCCGAGTAGCTACTCTGACACGAGAGGGTACAGCACAAGTACTTATGGCAACAGATGCTCTAACTGTAAGGCCACTGCTAGAGCTACACACGCCATACGCCGACTAGCAACTGTCACCGCAGTGGTCAAGCTCAGAGCCACATTAGCCATATGGACTACAACCATCTGTTAACACATCTCTTTCACAACCTCTTAGCTGAGGTGACACATCGACATGGGCCGGTGGTGTAAAATTAAAGAAAACGGGCTTCTTTGTAGAGCTCGAAGTTACTATATTACAGAGTTTCTTATCACAATCTAAGCTACCCGCGTCGCCGCAAGCGTCGTCATCGAAGCAACCACTCTCGCCATAGGCGCCACCGATATTCATACATCTCTTGCAGTTAGAGCACTAACTTGAGCATTGCACGTTCCGTACGCTGTCTGACAACCACCATCACAATGTCCAGACGACGACCCACACCATCCATAGACCGAGCCTGAAGCACAACAATTAGCTAAACTTCTTTCCAGGTGGTTGACGTAGAGATGATTGTGGGAGTAAGGGATTCATACAGCAGTCACCAAAACCACTTCCAGGATAGATGAATCCGTCATCGCTGTTAACTGTGCCGCAAGAGCCATCGGGTGAGATTTTGGTTGGCACATTGCAGAAGCCGAAGCCTAGCTGGCAGCCGGCGTCACAGTGACTGTCGTTACCGCACCAGCCGTATGATGAGCAGCTGAATGTGTGATACAAGACTTAGTTACTGGTATAAAGGCGCATCAGGAGCGTAGTGGTAATGTGCGTATCTGTGTTGGGAGATGAAGGAAAGAGAGAAAGTTGCTTACCAGTCTCCGAAGCCGCTTCCTGGGCAGTGGTATCCAGATAATCCTCCACATTGGCCTGTGTAGTATGTCAATTCCGATACCCTAACCTTCTTTCAAAGACTACAAATGAGGTTTACGTACCGTTCGGTGACAGCGCAATGCCGGCAGATGATGACGTGGTGGACGTAGGGCTTGAGACAAACGCAGACGACGATCGTGGCGACGAAGTGAGCGAAGGTTGGATTGAAGACGTGCCTATCGATGATGCATCATCTTCAGGCGCCTTGCCAAAACACTCTGCATTTGCAATGATCAGGTTCAACCACGTACCCGCTGTCGGTTTCTTGGTCAAAGCCCTTGTACCAATAATGTGGACACTCCTCGGCAAGCTCAAGGGCAGAGGAACTGTGATTTACCCACCATACCGAAGCAGAACTGGCATAACTAGTGTATGCAGGAAGAACGGCAGTTGGTGCAGCAGTGGTGATTCCGCACCAACGCGTAACATCCGGGTATGGACATTCAAGTCCAGTACAATCGGCAATCAGCCCGTCGCCGTAGGAGTCCAAAGCTGACTTTACAGCGCCAGTGGGCAGTGGAGGGTTGAAGAAGGGTGTATAGGCTGAGAGGGTACATTCCCAGGGATCTTGGGGCCCGGATGGTGTGGTGGTGGGCAAAAGGATGGATATTTCTGACGAAGCTAGTGCTACTACTCCTGCTGCGGAGGCAGCAAGAAGGAAGAGGCAAGGTTGCATGTTGAAATGGGAGAGGAAGAGAGGAAGAGCAGAGCTGTTTGCATGGTGCCATGGATATCTGCGAGGCCGAAGAAGTTTTAACAGCTTACGACTCATGTGCTCACATGCCTTGAGGAGTTGGTGAGATGTCGAACAGGGTACAAAGATTTAATTAGCCAAGTATAGTACTTATGCAGGTACACCTACATAAAACAAGGGTTAGCTACAAAAGTAGAACGTCCGAGCCGCCACTGCCCAGACTACGCTATCGACTTCTCATTCCCCACTGTCTTTCGTCGGAGTCCTAGTCGCGTGTTTTTAAGAAAGCATCAATAGTCGCGAGGCAATCATTCTTGCGGTATCGTGCTAGGTCAGGCCACCCATGATCTTTGTAAATCTTCTGGACTCCCTCGAGCGTTTCCTGATCCTCTGCGGTGCGTCCATACCAAGCAGCCCTAACTAGATTCTGGTGGAATGGTACGAAATTGAGCGTTCTGAAATTGGCCTTGAGCATCTCAAAGAAGTCAGATATCTCCCAGATTCCACTGTCGGCCCGCCATTCAACCTGATCTTCGGGGATCAGCTCATCGTCCAACATGCCGTAAGCGTCGGGGTGGACTTCTGGTATTTCAACTTTGGCTTCGCTCATGCATTCATGCCAGTAAATGACGCCGAGCTCGGTGTCGAGCAGGAATATCAGACCATTCGCAGTCGGCGCCGTTAAACCCACGATGTGAGATGGTATCTGTGCTTCTTCCGGATGAGGCTCGGTTGCCTCTTTGAGGTCCGCACCATCCAGATCCGCAGGTACACTATGCCAGGCCATGAACTCACAGTGGGGAGCGATATTGGTATATGTTTCTAGGTAGGGCAGGTGACGAAGTAGGTCGACTACCTCCTCTGTCTTGTCGAAATTTGGCCAACCCTCCGGACTGATGGTGTTCCACCCACCTTCAGGGGGCTCAATGATCTTCGATTCGTCCATGTACATGACTGCTAGGAATTGGAAGTACTTGCGGACGGCCTCGACTGTCGCATCGTGCGAGTAAGTGATCTCGCTTACGTCAGGCATTTTACTTTCCGTGGAGAGAAAGGGGGCGTAGGATGACTTGAACAGGGAGGAATTCAATTTCCAGCTGCAGTGATAATTTTGCCGAAGATATTTGCGAAGGAAGAAGCAGTATTTGCTGTATACCGCTCGTATCAAATTAGATAAGGTTCCTCTGAGGCGACTATTAGATACGACAAGGTCTTCCGGAGCTAGCAGTTCGGCGTCGATAGAAGTGGCTAGCCTACAAATTAAGATGTTGGGATCAGGTGGGGCGGAATAGCCGCAGTAGAGATATCATAGGCGCAGCAACCGCTGAGCTGCCTACTTCATCATAACGTATCGAAGACGCTTCCGCAACGACCGAATAAGACACATCACCGAGATCAAATTTCGCCATGCCGCCGGCTTGGTTATACGCGAAGCATTAAAGGGTCACGGAAGTAAGATCCAGACAATCTGTTCTGCAGCAGTACGTCTTGGCGTCCGAGCCGTGCCGCAGTGCGGGACGAATGCCAATCCGTGTTGGGATCAGGCGAGGTTGGCGCCGGACCCAGGGTTCGCAATCCTCACATTTGACCCGTGGTATCAGACCAACCCAATGCCGTACAACTACGAGGCTCCATACGTCCAAGGGGCAAACGGATCTTGATGAACCTTCTTCAATCTCTCTTATGTACGATTTTCTTGTATGTGTCTTGCACATACGCAGCTTCGCTGTTGAGTTGCTGTATCTGATTATTGAAGTCTCAAGTACAGTATACATTATTCAATACTACGTGGTAAGCAGGAAAGAGATCAACTGAGTTGCACATTTTGAACCCAAAATAACATGCTCGGCACCAACATAGGTAAAGCATCGCCTGTTTCTTCCCCTTCCGCGCTCGGATTCCAGGTAGCGCTGTTTATCGCCATGCGAACCTTTCGTCTTCTTTTCATCCTTCGACACTACTACGTCTTTTAGATTCCTAGCTTTCTCACTGGCTCCCTTCAGCTTCTGCGCTTTCTCGTCGCTCTGCGTACTGAGTTTGTCGTTCTCGTACTCGAACATCTCGAGAGTCTTTTTCACTTAGGTGTTCAAGAGATGCAGGCGTGAAATCTTGCCTTCAAGGCGGTCGAGACAGCGTAAGATGCCATGAGGAAGGACGTGTTCCACGACATTTATCATTTGGGAGTCTTCCGATCTGAGTCTTCGAAGGACTTGTATTGTTCCCCAACTTTTCCATTCCGGTACACGACTCGCCGATCCAAGCTCGCGATGCTGGCACGCAGGCGCGCGTATTCGTCGTATTTTGCGTGAAGCACCTTGTTAGCTGTGTCTTCTGCCCAGACACCCCCGCAAGAAGTTGTAACTGGCGATCCGATTCTCGACGACTCAAGCGACAAGACATTCAGCGTGAGCAAGCAGGTTTGGATCTACCACCGCCACTATCTTTGCTGATCTTCCTTGAATAGCTTCAGACCAGATCTGAGCTCTGTAATCTGCACTACATATTCGTTGCTTTTGATTCGCGGCTCCTCAACGGCTTTGTGAAGCGTAGAGTTATACAAAGGATAAGGATTACCCGGGCCGAGCTTAGCAGCGATTAATCCTTCGCTAGATGAGCTGATGGTTTGTTGAGAAAAGCCGGGGATACACATATTCGTTGACGATGGTGATGTCGGTGGTGAAGGTAATTGTGCAGATGAGGCGGCCCTAGGGGCGGCGATGTTTGGACTAGGTATGTCAGCAGTTGTAGTGGAAGGTGGAAGTATGAATGTGGAAAAGAAGGATGTGTGCATACATTAGATAGCAAGCATGGGGAGGTTTATGCTCCCAAACCAGGGTTTGCTAGATCACCCATCTTTTAACTGCTCGATAACAGCTGCAAGGTCTTTCACTCGAAAAGGCTTTGGAACCGCGTCATCCATTCCAGTCTCTTTCGCGCGCTTCAGCTGCTCTGGTCTCGCATTCGCAGTAACAGCGATGATGTGCAGATGCTTGCTGATAGACCCGTCATGCTGCGCGGCGCGGATCATACTCGCGCATTCGAGACCATTGACAATGGGCATCTCGATGTCCATAAGGATGACATCTATCCTGGGCGCTGATGCAGTAGCACCCTTCCAGTGTTGCGTAGTTTTGATGAAGTCGAAGGCTTCTTGCCCATTATCGGCTGTGTGGACAATATACCCATGACGTTGCAACTGCTTCTTCAGAACGCGTTGATTGATCAAGTTATCTTCAACGAGCAGGATACTGGACGGGGTCGTAGACGGCGCATCAGCAGTAGTACTCATAGCATGAGGGTGCTCTAAGGTCGTCCCTTCGGTGTTGACCGTGTCGTTGGAATGCAAGGTAGACGGGATCGAATTCGGTCGCAGAGCCCTGGATGCTCTAGTGTAGAATGCGAACGTAGAGCCGACATGTTGCTGGGAGTTGAACCCAATCTCGCCCCCTAACAAAGCTGCTAACTTTTGACTGATGGAGAGCCCCAGTCCAGAGCCGCCATATTTACTGTGAGTCTTAGGCGAGGCTTGTGTAAATTGGGTTGCGACACGCGCTTTGGCCGCTTCATCCATCCCACATCCTGTGTCCTCTACTTTGAACCACAAAAAGATGGAGCCTGCTGATGGTTCCGTTTCGAGTGCTGATTGATCTGTTTGAACGGGCTTTTGCACTGTCTTGATGAGGCCATCGAAGATGGCGGTGGGTGGCCAACATGCTGCCCCGATGCGAACGCTGACAGCTTTTTCGCCAGGTGTATCTTTGGTGAACTTGATCGCATTGGCCACCAAGTTGAATAGCACTTGCGTGATTCTTCCAGGGTCTGCATCAATCCAGTCAACCCCAAGCTTGCTCAACGAAGGATCGGCAACAGCTAGAAGCTGAACTCCGGCCTGTTCAGCATCAAGCTTGAAAGTACTTTCGACCCGTCCCAGGAAGCTCTTCACCTGGAAGATGGTAGGGCAAATTTCGAGTAGATCCGAATCTAGTTTGGAGAGCGAAAGAATATCGTCTATGATACGTGTTTGATGCACAGTGCATGACGTGATCGTTTCGACAGCATCGACCATGTTGTCGTTGAGACTGCGGCAGTTGTCGGCGGCTGAGGCGCTTTCTAGATCGGACATGCTTCCACTATCGTGCCGATCAAGAAGAAGCTTTACTTCTGAGAGGGAGTGGGCTATTGAATCCGCGCAATGCATGACAACATTGAGAGGATTTCGGATCTGTGATTTATTAGAACAAGCTAGAGTATGCATAGCTCCAGGTACATACCTCATGGCTCACCATATCAATGAAACTGCGCACTGTCAGGAAGCAACCACGTATTTGGGATCAGTGCGTACTTACTTTTCCTGCTGTCTTTTCGCTTCCACGGCCTGTTCTAGCCTTCTAAGTTGCAACGCCTCGGAGAACTTGAAGTCGCTAATATCCATTATTGTACTTGTAATCTGAAAGTTGTCGTTGTCAACCATCTCCAGAAAGGCCGTGAACTGCACCCAAGTTTGCTGTGAGAAGTCCGAGTCTGCTATCCATAGTCGATTCAGTCTGAGATGGAAGGTCGCAGACTCTCCAGTACGTGAAATGTCATGCAAACGTTCATCGAATTGTGGAAGATCCTCGTGGAATATAACCGAGCGAACGTCGATGTCAGCTGCTGGTCCAGTGGAATGTGAAGTCATCTTGAACCAGGTCTTGTTGGCGAAAGAAGGCCGCATGTCCCGATCGAAGATCAAGACTCCGAGGGGAGCATTCTCAACGAGATTTCGAAGACGCAGTTCGCTGAGGTGGAGCTGCTCCAGGGCTGCTGTGCGCCTGAAGATTGCTTCATGCTCGACTTTCTTCTGTGCGTCTATGTCCGTAGCACAGCCGGTAACGCCAATGACTACGGAGAGGCTGTCAAACACAGGGACACAGGCGATTTGCACCCACTTTCTCACTCCACCTGCTAGCCGAAATCGTATGGAGAGCGTTGCTGGTAGGCCACCAAGAAGCGCTTGCCAGTTTAGTGATAGCACCGGTACGTCTTCGGCATCACAGAGATCTACCAGCTTCGGCTGATTTTCCACGTTCAGCTTCCTAGAACAACCACTCAAATCGCAAAATCCTTCCTGTCATCATGTTAGAACGCGAACGATAACGTTGAGTAGCTGACCTTACATTGACCTGCAGTACATGTCCCGACAAGGAACATTCGAAAACACCAACACTACCCGCATCAAGTCAGCACTATCCGGTGGCATCCCATGCGACACAAACCTCGCTGCGCCCATGATCTTCAGTAGCCGCGACACGCCTCCGTCGGCCACAGTAGCCTCTTGCTGCTCAAGGGCCTTTTCTCTTCTGATGAAATCTATCTCTCTCCTAATCCCCTCGTCCTCATTCTTTTCAGCAAGACGCCTCCCTTCTTCAAGCACCCACGAGACTACTTCGTTCGAGAATTCGCGATGGAGCGTCTTTATCCATGCTTGATAGGAGCGATCGTACGGTATCCGTGGCGCCAGACCAACTATTAAGACAGCGTGAACATCGGTGATCCGGTTCCACGCGCTCGGCAACACGACAGCCTGGTGACAAGCATCGCCATGGCATCGATCCTTGGACGCCTGTTGCATTTCCAAGGGCAAAGTGCCGTCTTTAGTCTGGAGAACCACCGGCGCATGAGTATTGACACTTCTGAAAAAGCCCTGCACCCATTTTTGATCGATATTAGGCTCGAGTTTGCACGGAGGCGCGGCTGGGAAGGAGCCAACAGTCCCAGAGAGCAAGAAACTCAACGGGTTTACTCGACTGGTGAGAAGACTCGTTCCTTCTACCTGTTCGATGGTCGTCTCTGCGCGGTACAGGGCAGCAAAAGCTATATCCCCATTCCCATTGGATACGCCACACAAGATCGAGGGCCAAAGCGTGTCGAGGTTTGACGCAGACTCGCAAGCTCGGGATATCTCGTCCAGAGAATTCTCGCGACGGGCTAGCAATTCGTCTTTGGTTATATCGTCAGTCGTCGTGAGGAGGCTTCCAGCGGCGGGGTTGGCCCAGTCCAAGTTTCGGTCGTATCGCAGATCGGAATCGACGGCGGAATCGCTTTCTGAATTGCTGAAAAGAGAGGGGTGGGGCTGATCAATCTCTACCGCCATGACTAAATCACCAGCGTGACGACACAAAAAGATCGATCGATGGTACTGAGGGGTGCTTCGCTGGTATACATTTCAGCCACGATCCATTGCCGGTAGGCGTACTAGCGCAAACGGTTTAGGTAGCGGCGAACCAGGCCGCTGACAGCGATCTAGACCGCGAAGGCCACGCGAGCTACCCTGGCTACAGTCTAGACCACAGAGACCATGAATCCATCGAAACAAGCAGCTACAAGGCAAAGCGCGACACACTGTCCGATTGGTGGATGCCAATCCGCGGATGTGTCTGCAGCAAGCATACCTAGGTGGAGCTGCTTCGCACTGCGATCAAGTTGCTGCGCGGAGCGCCACTCGAGGTGGCAAACGAAGCCCTAGATCGACCACTGAGTTCGTCAATATGATAGGCGGCCAGCCAAAACAAAGTCCAACACGAAACACGGCATGTACTGAGCATATATGCATTACTCGTTTGTCATGCTTTAATCTGCCTTCATGGTGCGCACGGCCAGATCCCTGTTGATCCCATTCTCTGACCACGAGCGGCTGGCGCATCTCACCTGTCAGATCCCAGTGCAGTTCCTCGGTCGCCACTTGCCCTGCATTCTCATTTCGGTGGGAGCGACGAGAGACTCCAGCGAAAATTGACCACCATGGCCTTCCAAAGCCACGTTACTGGTTTTCGACTGGACGCAAAGCAAGTTCAGCTCCAGAACTCCCGCCGTTCGGTAGGTCTAAGCAAGTTCAGTCTAGCGCGCTCGCTTACTGCAATGCTCCGCCGTCTTTTGTCTCCACCCAGCGTAATCATTCCAGGGCGAGACATTTCTAAGATGTCGCTTGCTAGGGAAATCGTCACGAAATTGCTCAACTTCACAGCAGCGGCCATCATTGAACGTGAGAATATAACTCGAAAAGGACATGATATACTTCGATCTTTCCAGAAAGCTCAGCACTCTACGCTGCATGCGATTCTTAGGACGAATCGAAGGCTGAGTCGACCCAACTTAGTGCTGTCATGTATAGAGCACCTGCACACCCCAGCAAGAGCAAAAGGAACTAGAGAACAGAAACAATGAGAGCAAAGCTCACGAGAAGACAGGCGAGTTATACTAGCTCGAGCTCTCCAGAACGCTGTCTAAAGGCTCCGTATCTACTTGGTAACGAGCACTTCTAGGCCGTCCTAAACGTGTTGCACGCTTACGCGGCTGATAATCTACGCTACGAGCAGATAAAGCAGCACAACCAAGGACAAATTTAATGCTTTGCACCTACAACCCGCTGTAAAGTTTGCAGGTCCCTCTCTCGCTAAAATTGGTGAATGAGACAGCAAGAACTCCAGCAAATCGCCAAGTCTAGCATCTTTGGCAATGAAGCTTGTGGTTTTGATCTGAGATTTGTCTACGGAAGGTGCTGTGATGGTTTCAAACGGTGGAGAAGGTATTTTGCGTAGCGGATCTATGGATTGAGCAGAACATGTGGCCCGCCGCCGTGTGGAAATCACCAGGATGATGCGTCCCATTGCTTCCACGGACATCACTTGCCCCATACTCTTCCACTTACGACTATGCGCTGGTATCACGCAGCACATGCTGTGCCAGAATGTGATTCGACGTCAGGATGTTGAGCCACTATAAGCTCAATGATCTCTTTTGCAATTGGCTCTTGACAACTTTGGTAATGTTTCACGAAGGACACCCACAAATCTCCTTGATGAGATCCATCAGACTTAGGCTCCGGTCGGTCTAGGATGGCTCTGATCGCTGTGACGACAGCGGGTGGTGGCCTGATTTCGGGCGCAGACTGTACGGAGTACTTTATCAAATTCAGCTCGAGCGGATCCAGGAAACTTCGCATTAAGTCTGCTGTGATCTCGATACAAGATCCGTGTCTTGTCAGAAGCTCAAAACTTCCTAGATTCTTAGCCTGTTTGACCATGTCCAATGTGATCGTGAGATGTGGCGCTCTGGCAAGAAGCAGACGGAGTATGTCTGAATCGGAACATCCTAGGCCAGCAAGCAATAACCGGATGGTCTCGATCGTAGGCTTCAAATGCGTATTGTCTGCCAGGACCCGCTTGCAGGTTCGAATTGCAGATTCTGAGTACCCGGATCCGGTTATTAATTGATCCAAATCGTTTTCAGTAGCTTCTACGTGCTGCTCAGTGCTGAGAAGCGATTCTATCAATCGCTCGGAGGGGTATCTTTCCCGCGACAAGACTGATGTGAGTGGAGTTTCTCCCTTGCTTCCCTTCGAGTTGACGTCCGCCCCATGCTTTAGTAGTAGTCGTATCGTTGCATCATCTCCATATTCTGCACATGCAGCATGTAGAGGTGTTCCATGATTCGACGAGAACACGTTAACGTTCGCGCCGTGTTGTAGAAGTATCTTGGCCAAGCCAGCGTTGCGAGATTTGCATGTTACATGCAAGGCTGATCCCAAATTAGGTGAGATGATGTCAACGTTGGCACCGTATGTGAAAAGTAGTTTGAGTAATTCTTCGTCTCTCTTTTCGCAAGCAACGTGCATAGGTGTTCCCTTTCCGGGGATCAACACATTGACTTGAGCACCATGTTGGAGAAGTACTTCGGCCATTTCGCGATCACCGTTCTGACAGACTCTATGCAAGGCTGTTCCAGTGCCGGGAGTTTTGAACTCCACAACTCGTCGCCCATACATATCTCGCGTCTGGCATGTAGGGTAGAGAGAGGTTCCAGGGTCATCAGATGTCGTGTTGACGTCAATGTCGCGCTGTAGCAGCAACGTAACTACCTCCGAGCTACCACCTTCGATTGCGGCAATCAACGCGGACCCGAATGATCCGTGACGCTGGTCAATTTCGACGCCGAGATCGAGACATACTTGGACAACTTGTAGCATTCCCAGGTAAGAAGCTAGGTGTAGAACGCCAGCTGATGCGCAAATATGGCTTTTGTCAACCTGCGCAAGCTTCAATATAGCCTCACTGGCAGCAGCCCGGGCATTACTGCATGCACAATCCTTGGCTGACCGGCCGGGAAGCCAAGAGTACAAGAAGGAATCTCTGGCCCAAGCCTCGCAGCATAAAATCTTGTGGAACCTGTCTGTCTTCAATTGTATGGGCATGAGGCCTTCTAGCATGGCGTAGACTGGAGACTGGTAATCCAATGGTAAGGGTTGCGGGATGACCACCATCGGCAAGAGCTCGAAAAGAACGTTGTAGCTCTGGAAGTAGGCTGCTGCCTGAAGCACCGGAGGTCTCACGTTGGCCATGTCGATCGAGCTTCCCATCATCATCTCAATACTTTGTTGAGCACCTAGGGCTGCAAGGTTCGCCAGCAGTCTTTCGGAACTTTGCATTGTTTCCACATGGATAACAAATTTGCCGTCTTCTTGCCAAGCGCGCATATATGCTGGGACCTCCATACAAGCGTTTGTGAAGTCGTCCGTATCTAGCAAACGAGTAAGAACATAGTCGATGATATCCTTTGGCTTCTCTTCTACGACAAGTGTCCTCAGAATGTTAACGTCTCGTCCAGCATCGTACAAAGTAGCTCCCGCGGTCAGTAGGAGTTCCATCATTCCGAAATCTCCAGCAGTAGCAGCAGTTCTCAGTGGAGTCAAGGACCGACATGACTCCTCTTCAACGTCTGCCCCATATTCGATCAACAGTGCGGCAACTTCCGCATGGCCATGTTCACAGGCGATGTGTAGCGCGCTAGACATATCCACAAATCCAGTACGCAGTATCTCTGTCTGATCTGGCATTGGTCTGTTTGGTTCCGAGAATGCAAGCAGCAATTTTACTAGATCGACACTGCCACTACGACAGGCGGAAGTCAGCGTTGCGTAATTCTCATTGGATTGCGCCGACCCTTGATCGATGGAATCGTTTGACGATTGCATCGCACCCCAGTCGAGCAAACATTGCACGATCGCTAAGTGTTGGCCTTCCACTGCGGCACGTAGTGGAGTCCATCGGAAGTTACCCGCGGTCGAGGCAATCTCGGTGCCAGCTTCTACAAGAAGTTTGACGCAGTCCAGGTGACCGAACCGAGCAGCAGCATGTAAAGCAGTTCCATAGTAGTGACCTACAGCCTTAAAATCGACATTTCGGTCTATGAGCAATCTCACGAACTCGAAATCACCGTCCGCTGACGCCATTTGGAGCAGGAGAGTGAACCCAGTCGCTGTGGCTTGTAGGCCAGTTTGCGATTGCAGAAGGTACCGAATGACAGCTCCTGAACCGGTAGTTAACACTTGGCGAACAGTATCAGACTCGACGAAACCGTCCTTGAACACTGAAAGTGCCGCATCTAAAAGTACGGTTGGAGAGGTGTGGGTCGCTGGTGGCTTGGCCTCTTCCTGAGCTCCAGTCAAAACCTTCAGAACGGTGAATGAGTCAAGTTCTCTCCATGCAGCGTAGATCGAAGGCGTTTTGTGGTCCTTGTCAGGTATATCAATCGCTGCACCGCTCGCTAATATCATGCAGACCGTTTCCACGGGACATAGTGCAGCCGCGGAATGTAAAGTGTTTCGTCCAAGGCTGTCCACGACATTGACGTTTGCATGCTCGCGCAACAGCAATTTGATTAAGGCTTGCTGCTTGCTAAGAAATTCCCGTTTATTGTCTTTGAAATTCTTCAGTCCTTTTGTGGAAATTCCACAGATCCGGTCATATTGCGGCGTGGCTTGAAGACAGGCCTGTAATGCTGTCCTTGGCCAGACTTCACTCGTAGTAACTTCGTAGATATGCCAAGGCATGAAGTGATTATCGACAAAGCTGGGACACGGTATAGGCTTGTCGGTAATTGCGTTGACGTCCACCCCGAGTTCAATGAGATATGATGCCACCACAACATGTCCGTTTGCACATGCTTGGTCCAGAGCCTGCGATAGCAAAAGCTCATGATTGATGGATTGAAGCAATTGTTTTTCCCAAGCCTTCATTGCGGAGACGTAGCCTCGCCGCGCAGCTTCAACAAATGTCTGTGCGAACAACGAGTCGTCTCGGCAGTACGGTGGTTGGG